GCATACAGCCTTCTCCCTACATACAGCCTCCTCCTTGCAAACAGCTCCCTCCCTGTATACAGCCCCCCCACACACACATTTCCATCCCTGCAGCAGCCTTCTCCTTGCATCCAACCCCTTCCCTGCTTAAACCCTCCTCCCTGCATAAACCTATACACCCATAATTCCCAAATACATCCCTATCCCTGCATCCAACCCCCCCACATACAGTCCCCACATGCATTTAACCCCCTTCGTATAGCTCCTCCATGCGTACATCACCTCCCTGTGCACAGCCCCCTCCCAGCGTACAACCCCTCCCTTCGTATATCCCCTCCCTGCGTACGCCCTCCCTGCCTTGTGTTTATTTTTCATAAGTCAGAAGAGAATTGTTAAGTTAGCACAGGTGATTATTCTGAGGCATTCTAAAAAGGAAAACAAATTGAAGTCAAAATAGCACTGTGACGAACAGCTGCGTATTTTTGTGCGATTAGTGTCAGCCCATCGTTGTGTTGTCTTTGAATGGAACTTTTGTGGGGATAGTAATTTCGTGCGGAAATGCCCCTTAATGCAATGGGTTTCGAGCACGTGTTTTTACCACTGCGACAGCGAAGCGCGAAGGGAACTGAAAATAACCGGAGTTTCTTTTCAAAAGTTGCAAATGTAAGCAGGAAAACATAAGGCGTGCGTTGTGGGTGTGTGTGGGGGGGGGGTTACACGCTTTTGGAAGGCGATAACGTGAAAATCAAGGTTCAAGATTCAAGATACTTTATTGTCGAGTAAAGAAAGTTTTCACACGAAATTTGCTCTCCCAGTGTTGCAGGAAATAAAATTACAGTATATTACATGAATGTTAAAAATAAAATTACCAAGTTCAAAAGCATTAATCAAAACCAGTTTTAAAAATGTTACATTCAACTACATTATGTTACATTTACAGATAGGTAATTTAGTAGTAACGAAAAGATAACAATTTAGAGGAAGGGGGAACAGCAAAGACCTAAAACAAAGCGGAAGGACAAAACATGAAATATGGAAGAGAAAAATAAAACCAAAACTACTCATGTAGTAAAAGATGCATTAAAAATACGAATGGCCCATGGTTAAAAAGAGGATTTTGTTCCATTTGTTTTGCAGGAAAGTTGGCGCATTCTACCGGGTCGGTTTCGAATAATAAAAGGGTTGATAGGATGAGTATCATCAGACATAATTTCATTAAGGTTAACACTGACATGACACTGAGCTATTTTTTGGATGTTCTGAAAGTCACCATCAATAATTCTTTAAACACGATGTTTGTTACGATTGCACAAAGTGAGGGAGTCAAACCAACTTATGCAGCAGAAAATTGTCGACTGTACAATGCTCTGATAAAAAGGTTTCAAAATTCGGTCACTCGCGTTATAAAAATCCCAGTGTCCTTAAAAAAATGGAGCCTTGAGTTTGATTTTTTTTACAGATTCTAGTTGTGTTTGCATTTCAGTTTAGTTTATCATGTGCAAGAGTTTCCAAGTACTTAAACTTGTGAACGACTTTATTGATTTCAACCGGTTCTTTGACCGGAAATCAAATATTGTTTCTTTGGTCTTTTGTACATTTAATATCAAAGAATTTCGGCGACACTAGTCCACAAATCTGCTGATTTCATTTCTATAATCATTTTCGCAGTTATTGGTGATCATTCCAGACAAAGCAGAGTCATCAGCATATTTTATTATAAAACATGATCTGCTGCCATGGCAAAAATCAATTTTGTACAGAGAGAACAGAAGAGAAAGCGACAGAACACGTCCATGGGGGAACACCTGTGTTAACATTGATGGCATCAGATACTGAATTAGCCAGCTTGATCCTCTGTGATCTGTATAACAAAATATCATTTATCCAAAGTGCAAGGTATGGATTAACGACCCGTAGCTAACTCGAAAGAACATGAGGTTAATGGAATTAAAGGCCGAGGAAAAGTAAAAAAAGAGGGCACGTAAGTTCCTGACTTATCGAAATGATCATAGATATTATGCAAAAAAGTAACCATAGCATCCTCTACTAAACGTTTGGCTCTGTATGCAAACTGAAAAGGGTCAGTGAAAGTCAACGTTTCTGGAATCAAAATATCTCTTACAATTTTTTTTTCAAAACATTGCATCACAATAGATGTCAGAGCTACTGGTCTATAATCAGTCAAGAGAGTGGGGCTTGACTTCTTGGGAATTGGAACAAATACGGATGATTTCCATAACCTAAGAACTGTATGGCAGTTCCGAGACATTTGGAACAGCTGTTGGAACACTCCAGCAAACTCCCATCTGACACAATGTCAAGATCCTCCCCAATAATCCCCCTTATCTTCTTTTTCTCATTATATTTCCCAAACAAAAACTTCCAAGCTCTTTTGACCTTGCACCCCGGCTCCGTCAATAGGAACGGACCCTCAACTCCTGGTGCAAATGGACGCTATACCACTTGGCCCCTGACGGCCATGCAAACAAGCATTTGCTCAAGAAAACACTCGAGTACACTTCTCACTTTTAATACGGCAAAGCAAAATCGTTCTACATTCTACCAGCTACGTTGTATTCTCTACCATAAACTACTGATGATTACACACATAGACATACTAACTACTTAACTCATCGAGCATCAAAGAAAAAATCACATTCACAACGTCACAATCATGAGGATACTTCGTACTTTAACCCTGTTTTCTCCTGAACCCCTGGCTGACTTAAAAAGTCTTTCCATAAGCCTTTTCACTGTTAGTCTGCAAGAGAGGCTTTACGCTGTAACTGTTTTATCTGTATTCCTCTGCAGAGGGTAGCCTGAAGTGGAGCCTCGCTTCAGATTCAACATGGCGATTTTGAGAAAGGAATGGAATCAGTTAGTGAGAAACGCTTTAACTCCCATATCAGCTGGTCAACGTGAAAATGCCCACACCTTGAGGCTACCTCTGCCATCATTTTTCCCCATGGCACATAAGCACTTTACCTGATCTCTTCTTCCGAGTTTGTAGCGACAGTTAATGCCTACCGACCCCGTAAGATCAAAATCATAAACTTGTATTACAAATTAACATGTGTGTGCGTGTGTACATATGCACACTTACGAGATACACAGCAGCCCGGGAAACCGAAATGGCGGAAATATGGCGTCATATCGAGTAGGCCAGTCAGCGGTTAGTAGACTGAAAGGTTGGTGGCTCTAAAACGCCGTAGAAAAGGGACTTACACCACAACCTGGCAACTTTGTGCTACCACATTATAAAAGGGTACAGAAACGCATTTCAATGGTTCACCCATACTTTACACAAACGTGTAAATTGTAGCGTGTAAATTGTTAAAGTTAATACTTTTGATTCGGTTATCACCGAACAGGGACTATTTTAAAGGTTAACAAGTATGTACGACGCAAGGTTTATTTGTTAAAAAGAAAAGGGGCCCAACTTCCAACTCCAGAAATTCTGAGTAGTGTATGGGTCACAGTGAATGGAAAGGCGTGTTTATTCCAAAACCTCACTCGCTGATAGTTGTTAAAGTCTTCAAAAAAACAATATTTATATTTTCCATTGCTTACCAAATATTACATTTTTTTAGATTTGTCAAAGTGAAATAGATGCGTGTTAATTGAAAAATGACCATTCTACTGACGTTTTGTCCTGAAAACCTGGTTGTTGGTCATAACTAACCCTACTAACACATCACCATCGTCTCCATCTTTGATCACTCCGCTGTCATCAGCCCTGTCATAAGGATCGTCATCACCAACAACACGAAAAATCATTTTAACTCGACCTACCTACTTGATGGACTTCCCCCAAAATCGTTTTGTTTCAACTGATACTTGGTCGAATTCCTTCTTTTCAAAAGATTTGAAAGTTTAGTTTATTTCCAGTTTGGAGAAAAACGAAAGTAAGATAAGATAGCGCTAGGAATAACAATACTTTCGAATTCAGTTTGTCCCAATCAATTAGACCGACATTGCTCCCTTGGCGTTTTAGTGAATTTACTTTTTTTTTCTGTGTTAACACAAAATTTCATTGAATCATAGCAGAATTAAAATACGTCCACTGATTTGTTTGTCAGTAAAATATTTGTCTAACAAGTGGACCAAACACCCATTGAAACGCCCATTAAATGGCACCTTTCCCCATAACGTTTTTTTTTGTGGTCACGTGCCCAAGGCAAGGCAGTATGATTGGTGGGTCAACTTGTTGGTCGGTACTCAGACAGGAGCCTCAGCATTATTTCCGTCTTTGGCATATTTCTTCATGGGGATATCGCCTGTTGATACCTCGTGGTACTCAACCTCCTGCAATGTAATACGTTTAGGGTTTTTATTAAAAAATCTTACTCGACGCTTTGGTGAAGCTAGTTAAATTGATGCAGAGACTTTCCGCATGCGAAACTCTAAGGAAATATTTCAACGATCAGCCATACTGAAATTGAAAGTAAGGCTAATTCGCTTTGGAACTTCAAAAAAAAAATGAAAAGTAACAAAATGAAATTGATTTATATCGGTTTCCGGGTTAATTTAACATATTTCGATAAAGATGAAATTACCCAAAAGAAAATCGAACGGACTAGAATTAAGAAGTTGTGAATTACGACATAAACAAAATCAAATAAAATTGTCCGCTGAAATACTAAAGCTCGGTCAAATTGTGGTATTCAAAACGTACGATTAGCTACACACCAAACGCAATTGAAATTACACACGTCAAAAGTCACAAATGGTCTTGAACTGGCTTCTGAAGTTTAAATGTAGAAACAATTTTCAGTTTCGATCCCAAAATGAAACCTGATTCAAAATGTTCATGTTTATAATCATGCTCCATTTGAAGTTTTCCCCATTAAAACTTTAGTTACCGACATCCACATTTCCCTTCCAGCCTATGCAGGTTTAATCATCTCTGTGCAAAATAATTTTTGAAGATAATTGTATACTTACGGATTTATCAATCTTCCGTCCAAGAGAAGACAGAAAACAGATGTTAGTAACCAAAAAGAAACACAAACACGAAGCAATTAATATTATTACCTGTTTAGTAGACTACAGTTGAGGAAAAGTTAGAGAAAAAAGAAAATTGCGTATTTAGTTTTATACGCAAGCAAAGCCATAAAAACATCATGGCCGCAAATCCTGGATTGGTCCTACTGGTCAGTATCATCAAACTGGTTGTAAACCGTCCAGTCAAGTCATGTCCCATGATTTTCAAGTGATGTTTAAGTACTTCTGATTTGCATAGTGTAATTTCACGTCGGGGATGTTAATTTTTATATGGCGTATTAATTAAACCAAACTTACAGGGGTAGGACTCGAATCCAACCTCCTGCTAAGAGGCCTGCTCAACTCAAACAAGCAGTGCGTATCATTCCAAACGTGTGTAACAGCTACATGTACATAATATTAAACATCATACGAGTGCAAGTGGAACACGGAATATAGTGCGTCTGTGTCGATGTCCCAGATCTCATGAGGCCAAAGGCAGAGTGGTAGACGGGACCAAAGATTGTAGAGCGCCGCGCCGCTACGCGGCGCTCTACGATCTTTGGACGGGACATAGACGAACTACATTATTCCTTGTTCCCTGAGCGTCAGCGTGATAACGAATTTATCTTCGAGCAAACTTGATGCGAAGTAAAAAAAGTAAAGGGGCCTATGCGCGCTTGAGATAAAAAGAAGACAAACAATATCATACGGCGCACAGCAAAACAGTAACACCGGTGTACCACAATTCTGCAATTTCATCTAGGGAACATGGGAATTATTTGTGTTTTAACTAATTTCAAATAACAACACTAACAAAGGGCTTATACTTCAGCCAGAAACTCGTTAGAATTGTACGTGCATTTAAACACGTGACGATCAGCACGGGCAAACACGCCACCTTTGAATATACAGTTATGCGGACGCTCGTTTGCTTTTAGCGTGAAAATAGCACAATGCGCGCGTTGGGTAAGAACAGCGCGTTACGCAGGGTTTGCTCTGAAAATACGTTATCCGGTTCGTAAGTGTGACGTCACTTCAGTTTAAACCATGCCCACTGCTCATGCACTGCATACATGTACAGTAGGATTATTACATGCGTTGATTGCCGTTTACATGGAACCCGACATTGACGTGCAACTTCAACGATTGTCCAATGGGAGCCTGCAAATAGCGGTGCGTCCGCCTTTGTGATGAATTAACTTACGAACCAGATATAATTATCACACTGATCACGGTGCGACGCAGCCCTTTCATATTTCTATAATTATCACACTGTTTGCTGCTACGGATCGACCAATCATAACTGAGAATTCAAGTCTGCCTGAAGATAAACATATTTGGCGCGGTACAACCACTTCCCATTGCCTCGAACCAGCCAGGTGACCACAGGCAAGCTCGATGGTCGAGTAGTTGCAGACATTTGCACTCGGAAGCATGTAATCTGGGGTTCGAGTCCCACCACACCGAGCTTGTGAATTTTTCACAACCCCTCTAACGGTAAGTGTACAGTGTTAATAAATATTGGTGAAGGGGGAAAAACGCCCAAAATATGACTCATGATTTAACGTGACAATGGCCGGACGGCACATCTGCTTTAACAGAACTGGACCCTTCAATGATCCCCAGCTGGACGCAATTTCCCTAGCATCCGAGGCTCTTTTGGTGGGAACTGCACTTCGCTGGTTCACAAACGACTATGAAACGCACGCGCTGCGGTCGGGCTCGTCGCTAGCAGCAAAATGAACATTCCCGTCCAACATGGATCTTTCCAACCAATGAGGGGGTATTTCTGCTCTAAGCGGATTGCCTCAAAAATTCACCCCAGGTTAGGGTTAAAGTTAAACTTGCAAAGCTTGCTTTCTCCACAGACGCGCAACCTCTCCATTAGTTCACAAAAGAACCAAGTCTGTTATTAGCTTCCCGCCCTTGCACTGCAGAAGTTTAATATGAGTCTGAAGAAGTTTTGCACACGGAAAAAAAACCTGCCATGTACAATTTATGTTACTAACGTTTGCACACACGCACAACGACAACACACTTTTTAGCAATGCTTCTGGGAAACGTTACATATTGATTTTCCCCTAACAACATTTACAGACAGCATGCAGTGAGTGAGCAAGTTAGCAAACTCTCTTTACAAGGGATCGGAAAAGGAGTATACGGACCGTACTTACATCCCAGAATGGCTTGTCCTCGTAGAGTTCATCATCTTCCGGCTCGTTCCAGATCGGAATCTTCATGATCAAACCTGACGAGAGAAAATACACGCTCAACTCTCTGCGAATCTATCGCTACAGACGAGTCACTTCAAGGCGGAAAGAACACCGCTTACAACAAGGTATTTTATCCTCAGCGAAAGCAAGGTATGAGCGGCGAGGGCAGGGACGTTTAGCATGATAACAGTATCTCAACATGATTCAGGTGTTCCAAACTCAGACACTATCCCCTCCACTTTACACCAACCGTCAATTCTCATCTACTCCAAAAGCACATCGATAGGGATTTGGACAGTTTAGAGGGGAATGTAACTGGTATGTATTTTAATTTAACAGTAGGTTATCTGCTGTACGCTTCTTCTTGATAAATGTGTTGAAACTGTCAATGATCCCGTCCAGTTTGAAGGTAAAACGTGTTACACGAGTCAAAAGCAGAGTTTTATACGTAAAGGAGGTTTCTGATGTCGCTGGAGACAAAACTGAATGACAACTTCACAACTTGACGCTGGTAAGTTTAGAATCCTGACTTAACAGTTGCTGTGTCGCTGTAAATTTATTCGAGATTCAAGTTTATGCTACTTGGTAAGAACAGAAATCGTGTCAAGTGATTTGTAAACGATTGTCTACGTCGCAGCGCAAGGACCTCTATGTGTTTTAATTATATGCGCAGTCATTAACCATATGATTTGCATACACTTCAAGAGCAATAATGAAGTAGTTGCAGGTGTTTGCATTCACTAAATAAATGAATGTCATTAATTATAAATTATCAGTAACAATTATAAATGATGTATACCAGTCTGAGATACAGTAAACTTTCGGTGTGAACCGCTATACATGTAAAATGACCTAAACCGGATTTTTTAGAGATAACTGCAATAATTCTTCGACTTGAGAGACGGACCATGTTGCACTCACCAGTTATGACACCTCCAACGATAGCTATCGCTAAGGTCACAGCGAGTGCAGCAAGCTGGTACCCGGCCTGACCACTCGCCGAGCGCGGCGATTCCATCACGTGGGACATGCCACCAGTGAAGTCTTCAGCCGTATTCATGCTCCCGTTGGTTGCCCGAGCCTCGAAGATTTTGTACAAACTGTAGAATGGAAAAGAAGAAGTCGTGGATCGCGCAGTCTGATATAAAGTGTACGGCTTTACGGTTGCATGCTATTGCAGCTGCTTAAAGGAACCAGGAAATGTAAACAATTTTCATAAATTTTACTAAAGACCCTTGAAATTGCATTTTGGGTTTCAGTTAACCTCATTTAAAATGTTTGTTGTGCAATTTTGACCTATATTTTGATGCTTTTTTGTTTTATGCTAATGCTTATTTGCATATTCATTAGCAGAACAACCATGCCATCCAAGGCACTGAATCTCAATGTTGCATTGATTTGTGCACAGAAAGTTTCTAGATTGTTTAACCACTGCTACGGCAGATTTTATTTTCTTTGGCAATTTATGGCTGGTAAGTATATGGCAATAATCCAGCAAAATCCTTTTCACCGAAATGTTGCCAGATAGCAAATTTGGGGTTCACAATTTGAACATGAAAAAATGCAACCTGAACATATCTTTCTGGATTGGCATCAAAGCAAAAGCGCCCTCAATTGTCCAGAAATGCTTGGTCAATGTTTAATGTTTGGAAAAGAGCACCATTCAGTTCACGTTACTCAAAAAAGATGTCCAACAGTCTTCATACATGGAAGAAGAGTACAGAGATACATAAAAAGTGATTCTAGGAAAAATTCATTTCCTGGATCCTTTGATGACCTGGTAGTCATATTTGGCTCATACAATGTCTATAGGGGAGTCAAGTTTGCGTAGTGGTTCCGCCTTCTAATTCCAGGATTCAATTCCTGGCCCAGTCCTTATGGTAATTGTTTTTTTTTCCCTGCCTGGTTCGTTGGGTTTTTTCCAGAATATTGTATGGGTTTCCCTCCAACTTTTGTCAAAGTGTAACTACTTCTTGTTGTCTCCTCTCCATCGGTTTCCTCAGTTTTTGGGGTGCTGAAGAGCCTGAGGCATGAGTATATACCTTTGAAGATGCCTTTGTAAACAAATTATGTCATCAGTCTATTTCACCTTCCTGTTCTGTTTCACACTGATACTGACCTAATTTTTATTTTTATTTTTTCTACTTTTAACTCTTGCAAACTACTTACTTATCTCCGTAACGTTCTTTGGTGGCAGTCGCAGCGGCAATGGCGCCGGCGAAAGCAGCCAGAATACCCGGCATGCCGTGAAGGTTATGCACGCCACACGTGTCGTGGAGTTTGAGTTTGCTGGCGAGGAAGGGCTGAGGTGAAAATGAACGGAATACCAAATTTAAGGTTGGCCGTCGTCATTTTTCTCGAAATTTCTTTAATTTCGTTTGTCAGGTGTCAAACCTCACGCAGTCGACTATTTTATGCATATGTTCGAACTTTCTGCGCTATAAACATAATTATTCTATTCTGCGAGGCCAAGCAAACTTGAAGGAAACATTTTTATATGCCACCAAATCATTGGGTTTTTTTCGACATCACATATGTCAACCACGCATTCTTCTTTGCAACGCTTGAATGAATCTGCAAGACACCCATAAATACCCACCTGTAAAAATCTTTCAAAAAACCGCACTACTTCGCAAATTTATCAAGGTTGGGGCAGTGATCTGTTATTTACCATGGAAGATAATTTTAATTTTGCAGTATCACCGTGCCATGCGTTGAAACAACTTAAGGCGCTTTTCCATGTGCGCGTCAATTAGCACTTGCACCAAGCGTTGTGCATCCGTCAAAATCGCCCCAGGAGCGATTCTAGGCGCCTTATTCATATGCATGTTTTCTTTACGCGTGCGTACACGATGCGTTCATGCGTTTCACTTTCACACAAATATCGACTCCATTTACATAATACACGTGTGCGCTGTGTTCGGCCGTCAAAATCGTCCTGGCAGCGACCCTGACCGATACGCAACGCTTGGCGCGAGTGTTGACATGCATAGTCAAAGACACATGACACATCCATATATCACCCCAACCCTCTACAAGTTTAGAGGGTTAACCGGAAAAAAACATGTCTTTCTTTCAGCATAGATGCTACCTAAATGTTTTCCCCACTCAAACAAAATTACATTGCTTCAACTCTGCAGTGCTTGACTTTCTCGGCGATGTGGTACAGTAAAGCTTCGTTTATACGTTATTCATGATTACCGAGAAGTACCCTCGATTGGCCCGTTTAATGTATACTAGACCCGTTTCTTGGCAGCTTGCTTATAAATTGGAATAATAATAATTATATTCCATAACTGAATACTGGCATCAGTCCCGTACTTCGGTTATGAAAGATAGCGGCAAATACTGACATGCTTCAAGCAACTACCTGGATGTACTTGTATCCGACGGTGGACAACATGGCGGCCACTATGCCGATCAAGATGGCGCCCCAGGGCTGGATCATCAAATCAGCGCTCGTTCCCACGGCAACACCTCCGGCCAAAGTCGCATTCTGGATGTGCACCTGATGTGCGAATCAAACATAAAATTGGTTGTTGATTTCGTCCTTCATGAAAACAAAAAGAAACCTGAAGGTAATGTCTATTTTTGGATGCCGGTTCATGTTCAGAACAAGCATAAACAACCCAGTTCCATTCCAAAATCTCCAAGAGTTGTGTCAAGCACGATAAATTTCGCCGCGAGTGTTTCGTGACGTTATAGTGGACTTAACACACTCTCTCCAGCACACTATTTTTGGTGGGGACCTCAACACCTCAGTCTGTTCAAGCACCGTCCTTTTTGTCATTTTCACGAGCTTACAACGTGTACCCTTCACGCTTCACACTTTCCCCCTCTAGGCCAAAAGAAATTAAAGCAAATTGATATTTTTCACTCTAGAGCCGGCTACATTTTTACACTATTTGAAAAGCGCACAAGCACAGCCTACAATGACCAAATCAGCGCTCAAATCTAGTACTACGTCATCACCATGTTTCATAACATCCACTCACAGAGAGATCAATATACCCTACCATTTCGACTTTGCCATCCTTGTTAAGCAGTGTGGTGATGGCGAATGTGACCACGCAGCAGGCAGCCAGCGAGAAGTACGTGTTGAGCACTGCCCGGTGGCGAGCATCCTCCAGGGCGAGGGCGCTGTTGAAGCTTGGCCAAAACAACCACAGGAAGATAGTTCCTGCATGTTTACAATACAAATGAATGACTGTATCAGAGCAGTCTACAAGGTGTGACTGATTTTTTCCCCTTCAATTTACTGAGCATTCTATTTAAGATATTCCTCATATATGCTGACTTTTGGGCAAACGAATAAGCTCACAGCTTTTTTGCAGATTTTTCGAAGTGTACAACCTTTTTATATATTGAAAATAACTAAGAAGAATACGAAAAAATGAACACTTTTTAAGAGATTTTAACCCTTTTTTCACCCCGTCGCACATTTAAGTCCTGACGATTAGGATTGCATCTGGGATTGTAAAAAAAGTAAAAGCAATAAGTTCCCAGCTTTTTTTTACCTGCGGCTTCATTTTAGGCAATACGTTAATTGTTTACCTAATGCTTGGGAAGAAAATGTGAAGATTTTGTTAGCAGTGTTGTCGACTCATGCAAAAGAAATGGAGATTAGCACAATTTAACAAACAAGAGTTGCCCAGCAACCAGTGGCTAGATAAGCCGGTACTGATCCATATCAAAGGTGGTTTTGGCGAGAGAGGAGAATGAGTTTTACCCACGCGTTTGTTACAACTCGACAAATCACACATCAAAAAAGAAATGTTTAACGACGAGGAAGAAGATGAAGAATGATAACGTTGTCATCGTTCTCGTCCAAATGGGCTGATTAAAAACTCTAATGAGAATACGAATGATTAACTGACCAATGAGAGAGAAGATATCAGAATGATAGGTGGCGCCTTCGTTCTCGTTGTCTTCGGTTGCATCCCGGGCAAGTACACGAGCAACGGCCAAACCGAAGTAGGCGCCAAAGACGTGTACAAACATTGAGCCGCCAACGTCTACAGTCTGTTGGAAAAAAAATTAACATTGAACTGGATCAGGTCAGACAGAACTTCGGCTTAGAAAAAGTAGTCAAGGATTTGACAAGTAATCCTTTTGGTTGATCTTTAGGCTGTTTTAGATATATTTTTATATTTTCTGTTCATAATGTAGACCTATTGGCGCCCTTTTCCTTCTCTCCGTGAATCTCTTCACTGAGGGAAAGGTACTGTTCAAGAAAACAGTCCACCCAAAACATTTCTCCACTAAAATCCCACGTAGCAGGAATTTTTTTTCTAAATGTTTAACGTATTTATTAAGTTACACATTTAAAAAAAAACACGTACACATAAGGTTTCACCTTTGCACAGCTGAATGTACATGTATTTACACTGTATTCTCAGTTCGGTCTGAGAAGTATCAAAACCCACAAGCCTCTTCGAGTTGGATTCGAACCCACTGCACTCATCTTCTGCTGACTACCGCAGACGTCTTTACCACTGGACCACTGAGTTAGCCGTGATGGGGTTGCTTAATGGCTGACTTTTTTCTCGATCTGTTTCCCTACGCAACAGATTTTTAAAAAAAAACCAAGCAGCTGCATGACACTAGGACCACAGCAATTACCCCGAAAATTTCGAGCCCGATGTGTTCGTTGACAAGCGCTAAGACAACCTCGAAGAACGCCATGACAATCAGCTGTACCGGCGATGTCTTGCCCAGGACCGCCCCGAAGGAGATGAGAACAACGGCCGAGGTGAAGTCCGCTGTCAGCATGCTAAGGAATGACCACAGTTTAAGTATGACAATTATTTTCCGAAGTGGAATTAAGTACACCCTGTGAGTGAATGAAACTAGTGAAGGCAGGAATTAAAGATTTAAAACTGAAACTCATACATGTATAATCAAAGGCAGACACAGATCCAGAAAGGGGAGGGAGGTTTGGGCCACACACCCCGCTCATGGGGGGGGTGTCAGAAGTCTGGAAGACCTCCGAAAAGCATTAGCTATGCAGGGGTCCTGTTTTACGTCTACAGGAAGGACCAAAGAAATGAAAAGGCTTCGTCACTGACAATAACTGTATGTAGTGCCCCCCCGACAAACATTTTCCTAAACCCTCCCCACGCAAAAAATCCAGGATCCAGCCCTGAATACATCGAGTTTGTACGCAGGTTTCCTTGCAAGTAAGAGACTTCTTTTCAAAGTCCGTCGGTCCAAAATTTGAGACAGTGGCTTTGATTCTATCTTACACCGTCGGCACTCATTGCAAGTGTCACACAAAAGAATATCCCAGATGACCAGAACTCACTTTGAGAGCGCTGGGAGACCAAGGGTGGCCAAAGGCCAAACCTTAGGGGAGAAACTCATTTGTTAAATATTAAGAAACCTATAAGGGGCAAAAAAGCCAAAACAAATTTATCTGAAAACGATAAACAGACGCAAGTGTATTCAGAGGGCAAAATTAAAAGGTGTACTCATTGGCTATCCTGTGAAAATTAAGTAAAGACAATTTAACCATCGAAAGAACGAAATTCATGCAAAATTTTGCCCTAATTTAGAACGCAATAAACTGACTACCTATGAGTAACCTTTTTTTAACAGCGCCATATTTATATGTAGCGCCCCCTTTGGAGTAACAACACAATGACTGGACCTCACGGAAAATGAGAGATCAAAAGTTGAATTTCACCAATTTGTATTTATTTGACGGCCCTTTACGAATTGCATCTTTTGTAGTGTCATGTGCTAGGGTACGGTAATAATTCGAGGATAAGTATATGTGTATTAAGTGCCGTGGCTGCGTTTTTATAAGTGGCTTTCCCTATTTTCGTGTATGGGCGATTTGGCACTGAATCGATGTTTTTACATCATGTTTCTGCTTTTCACTACCATCAAGTCGTCTTACTTTTGAATGAATTTTTCTATGTACTTTTCCCCCGTATTTTTAAATGTTATCGATGCTGTAATCTGCGGGCTACTATGGCATTTCATAATGAAACTAAAATTAATGAAAATGACTGAAGCAGAGCAAGGAGAAAACAATGCCGGATATCAGTGATTCCGAGTTTGGGGTCAATGAAATTATACCGGTAGTCCTACATTGGAAGAGGTGAAGAATATTAAACTGCTTGCATATCCTATAGCTAATCAGTTACCTATGTCAATTCAGTTGAAACGGGGAGCGTCTGAAATCATATTTGTGGGTTTTGCCATTGTGCACCATTTGTTTGGGCGACATAAGCCGTTCTTTGAAAAGGTTGTTTCCGTCTTACGGGTCAGCTGCCATGGCAAAGATTACCTCACTGACGTTTCCTTTCAATGGCCCCAGCATAGGCCTTGCATTTTTGGTAAAAAACTGTGCGGTTTGTGTGTGTATTGCCAAAGAGGAGACATGGAAACAAAACAGGAAGCCTTTGCTGCCTTTCTTTGTATCACCTTAGGGAAAAAATGAATATATTCAAGCAGAGGAATAGCAACTACCAAACACAAGCCGATTGCAGGTGCGCCAGAAATCACTGTACGTCCCAACACAAGCGATGGGATTACCTGTGAATGTGCATTCCATCACCAATGAAGCGATAAGCTGCGACAAACTTTTCCAGTCCCACAAAATATTTCCTAATAAATTGCCTGTCGTGGAAGTTATTTTGGTACACCTGCACCGTTATGATTGAAAGGTTTTCTCAGCTTTCAAAAATCCCCCGGTAATACCGCTATAAATTTTACCAAAGCCACTAGTAGCGCAAGAAGCCAGATGGTGGGCACTTTGCCAAATGTCAACTCTGTTTTCAGCGAGTAAAACGGGAACAAAATCTGGTTCACTAAATCCTTAAATTCAAGTGAACATGGCAATTTGAATTCTCCTCGTGATTTGGGGCAAGTTTTTGCTCAGTGACATAAGAGACACCTTGCACCAATACACTGTTTAAACGGATAAAGAAAGGTAAAAAAAACCAGTCCGTTCCAGAGATGGTGCTTGCTTTGCAAAAGCTTGCCCCGAAATACAAGGTGAAGCAGCAGCGTCTATAGTCTGGTGTATTCAAATTGTTGTTTATGGAGCTCCAATCATGGGGGCCCAAAGATAACGGCGTTGCAAGGACGAAGCGACTGGGGACGAGGCGCAGTTTGGAAAACGGTTCTTGGGTAAATGTTCTAAAAATGGGAAGACTTGAAGACGTCAGTGTATATTTGGAATGGCAAACTTACTGTTATATTTGTACCAAAAACGTTCTTCGCTGTAACGTGCAAAATTTCAAAAACTTCAGACTGCACACGTACAGTTTCAGAAGTCTATTTTTACAAAACACTTGCACAAAACATTGCAGTATATTTTTCTCTTGCACAAAACAACGTGTATTTTGGATCCACTTACTGCTCCTACAGGCGTTTTTCCTATGCAATCATCCCAAAGTGGGAACTGTAGGCATACCCGCCATGTTGGGTGAGGTGTCGGTACCCGTGGGCTTATTCGTGGAAAGTCTCGCTATCGGCGCGTTTGGTGCGTATACTTTATTGAAATACACCAGTAAACTATTGCTTAACACCGACCTCGTACTTAACTGATCATGGGCCCAACTCCGTCAATGCTATATGGCCATTTGTAATCATGCCCCCTTCAACCCCAAAGACCCTTGTAGTGGCATTTAAATTGATTTGAGGGTGTCCCTTGGTATCTATGCCTACCAATAAAAAAAACGAGAAAAAGGGTCAGAATACCGTTTATCCAGTGGGGGGGGGCCACCAAGTCAACAAAAATGTGACACCCCCGAATATGAAACAACTCCGACAGCTCAGACCCATATCTAAGTGACCGACAATTGATATACGATAGGCTCTGGCTGGCAAGGCAGCCTCTGCGTAAATAATCCCATGAGGGCCACGTGGCAGAGAGATTAGTACGTATTCCTATGGGACTTAGCAAGAGGCTGGCTCTGGTGAAACTTATACCAGCCAAGGGGAAGTCCCTACCTGAAAGGCGACTAAACTAGATTATTCAGCATCGGCAGAGGTAGGTTGGATTATAAGGTCTTTGCATTTGGCCGTAAAAAAATTTAATTAAGAAATTACGAAAATGGCCCTCAATAGCTGACTGAAGGCGCTCTGCGCAAGGTTAAAAAGTCCCAAATACACGACCAAATCAGAGTGCTATGTCCCACGCCATTAACGACGGTGATATTTCTCACGAAGAACTTGTGCTAGTTACTTCTGAGTTCCAAAAATTTAACGAACTCAAAGAAAAAATCAGATTGCGAGTAGATACTGAACTCCATGGAAAGGGATAAAAATAGTCAGTTTAACGACCAGGAAATCAAGGAACGAACCCAAAAATAGCAGAAAGTTTGGCCAGAGAAATGTTTGACAAGGAAGAGAAAGGTCTCTTGACAGAACTTTGGAAAAACTTGGCGAATATAAATCGCAAAGCGCTCTACGGGGTTTACTATTAGCTACAGTGACGATAAAAAACTCAGTGACGATAAGAAAAATACTAAACAAATACCAGCAATTTTTCAGGACTGCAGCAGCTGCGCGCCCTTTGAAGCTGTTTATCCCCCTTACTACGAGTCAGATAATAAGGTAAACAGCCTAGTCCTGAAGGGTTCAAGGTTAAGGGGTCGCAAGGTTAAGGGGATCGCAAGGTTATGGCGTCGCACGGTTGACGGGGTCGCAAGGTTACGGGGTCGATTTTTATAGCGCTCCACCCAACGAGAACCCTCCAATTTCAGAAATTAGAGGTTAAGAAATAAAAAAGATTTGACTTTGGGGGTTGGGTAGGTACCTAGGGTTTGATTGGTCTGGAAAACCCCTATATAAATGTACCTATACTATTTGCTATTTTGGTGCATATAAACTTCAAATTAATTAGGCACACTCTTGTTTTAGATACATTACATTTATGATTCTAGGTTGTCTACAATATGAATCTAAGTTGTCGGGCCCCCTCTAGGATCACGAATTAAACGGTTTTGAAAACAGGGCAGTGTCCAAATCAATTTTAAGTTGATAAGCACCAAAATGACAAAGCTCACCATGTGAAGGGTTTTTGCAGATCACATCACAAAATTTGATGTCCTGTAAGGTTACTCTTTGGACAGATTAAAAATACGCCACCAATCACGGCTTTGATGTGAGAATCGAGCTCTCTATTTTCCCTTTCACAAGGTCAGTGTTTTACCGAACAAAGTAATATGCGCTATTTTCGTGGCATTTCTTGAAGGCGAGCCTAAGATCATCCAACCTCCATGATGGAATTAATTCAGCCCGAATTCGGCGAGATTCTGCAACCAGCACAAAACTACACTTACATGTATTGTTTACTGGGCCAAAAATGGTAACCAGCAAAAAAACTACACATACCCGTATTGCTTACTGGGCCAAAAATGGCAACGAGCACAAAACTACATTCATGTGTTGCTTACTGGGCCAAAAATGGCAACCAGCACAAAACTGCACATACATGTATTACTTACTGGGCCAAAATGGCAAGTAACAGGTTAGAAATATATGGCAAATTCACTGGAAAACAAACAAGAAATGCCGCAGCAAAACACGGATGTATATCTTGGAAAAGGCCCGGGTGTTGAGGCTGTTCTTCTCGACATCCTTCACAAGCATTTCATTTTGTCATTACAGAATCAATATGATACATATTTATTTATCCCGCAAACAACTACTTGACCATAGCACACGTTAAGCCGGCGAGAACAATTGGGTTCTGGTTTACGAAACATTTCAGAGGTGGCGCATTGTGTAAAATGACGTGACGACAAAAAGATCTGG